CCTGGGGAATGTGTCGGTCAGTATCGTGCCACCAACCAAAGTGGTTGAGTTTGAGGTCCTTCAGCAGCATCATCTGCACCCCCACACCCAGCAGGACGTCCAGATCCAGGAGACACAGCAGTCCACCATCGATCCAAAAGAGGCAAAGACCTTAAACTGTCGGGTCGAGTACGAGAAAACCAACAGATCCAAGAAATCCAAACCCTGCCTGTATGATCCGTCTCAGACCTGCTTCACAGAGCACACCCAGTCCCACGCTGCTTGGCTTTGTGCTAAACCTTTCAAGGTGATCTGCATCTTCATCTCTTTCTTCAGCATTGATTATAAGCTGGTTCAGAAAGTGTGTCCAGACTACAACTTCCAAAGCGATCACCCTTACTTTGGATAAAGTAAACGAGACTAAATAGAGAATAAAAGAGACACTGATGAGTAAAATGATAATGATGGAAATGATAGTCATACTGATCCTGTTAAAAAAAAGCAGGGGACAGTTTTTTTTGCCTCTAAACAGCTGTGAATTGTGGATTTAAATCATGTATATTCAGACTTATGGATGATTAGGATGTGGCTGATTTCACTGACGTCTTTTCCAACTTTGTATTTGTTCTGTTTTTCTTTGTTTTCTTTTGTTTTCTGTAAATATTGTACTCAACCCCAGCAGACTTATTGTTTTTAGATATTTGTTTCTTAGTGTCATTTCTTTCTGAAGTTGGAGGCTTGGTTACAAACAGCTGGAATCAGTATTATGCCCTTCGAGTACAAAGTAAGCCTCTGAGGCAGCCGAACAGTGCCATCGCTGTATGGCAAACGTAATGTTATGGTAGACTGACTGTTAATCATCCTCTCAGCTCTACATTTAAACCCTGGATATAAGAGAGTTATATGTATGAGAAATGCCATGCTGGATATGCATACAATATACTGTATGAAAAAGCACATTAAAATCTCTTAAACTGTCTGCCTTTTACTGACTGAATGTTTTGGTTCAGAGCTTGAAGCAAATTTGCAAGGCGCAAGCTGTGCAGCGTTTTCATGTTATCTAACTCAGCAAGGACACTATTATGAATTAAGCTACATTTTACTCTGATTAGGAATTCATGTTCCAGCTTTCAGCTAAGATATGTAATTTTAATTTTCTCAAATATATCGAAGGAAAGTTTGTTATGGATTGAATTTTAACACGAAAACCAACCGTGAAACATTCTTTAGATGATAAAGTTCGACTTTTTGAGGGAGTTGATATGTACAGTAATAGAATCCAGCAGCCTTATCTGATGTGATTTTTAATTACATATATCCTGGAAATGGAAAAGAATAACTATTGTACTGAAGGTAACATGACTGACAGATTTATGTTTGTTTGATCATGCAACCAAATAAAGTATTGCACACCCGAGTAAACATTTTTTAGTTGTGCCGAAACCAAAGGTTATATTGCATTATTTTATATGTATATTATGCTGCCAATGCTATGATCTTAACTGCCTAATAATACTTATTTGATCAAGGTTTTTTATGCTCAAAATATGAACTTAAAAGAGAATAAAGTAGGACTGGCTCGCCACCAAAAGAGTAATTATTAAAACTGATCGGGGGTTATAACCGAAAGCAAGGATCACCCCAGCTGCCTCTCTTAAGCAAACCAACCAAATGCAGTTTGAACAACTATTTAAGGCTGATTCTTCGTTCTTTGCAAACTCTCAGCTCAAAGTCATTTGGGTCCACACACCTTTGATCCAGAAATATTGGTGCACAGAACACATATTCAGTGTTAATTGAATCTTCACCTTCTCTGCCTCAGTATCTTATGGTCGTGATGATTTAAACTGAAATGGAGCCTTACACAAGTTGCTATGGACAAATGCAGAAGTTGGTGAACTTCCCTTCCTTATAGACAGAAGCTTAGTGAAGAGTTATTAAAAAAGTGCCGGGGATTACTCACAACTATATGTAAGTGTACGTATGAGTGCATGTTTGTGACTGGGTGTAGATGCATGTGAAAGCTACAGTAAGGTCCATAAGTGTTCTGTTAATGAGGCTTTTCTGTGTAATTCTCTCTGTGTATACCATCACTGTGGATTATAAAGCAAACAATCGATACGTCTTTGAAATGCTGACTTTCCACTTTTATTTAAACAGCTTAGGAAAAGAATTGCTTTAACTATTAATGAAAGGGTTTTTTGCATACTAGTCTCCCATTTTCAGCAGTAACTGGACAAAATTCCCCTCACATAATTTTAAATATAAGGATTGCTGTCAATGACAGTGTGAAACCTAGAACCCATGCCCAACAATACATGCTGTGTTCCCATGCTCTGTTGGCTTGAAATCGGGTGACTAACTTAAAGAATATCACATTGCTGGCAGACTCTGGACAGAGTCTTTTAGATGTTTTGTGGTAAAGTTTTCTGTGGTCTTCTCGGTCTTTTGGTGTTTCAAATGTAACCAATTTCTTTTTAAAATGAACTATATTGTAGATTTAGACACTTCTGAAGGTTTTTCTATCTCTCTGATATTTATTTTGTTTTTTCAAACCAACC